TAACGAATTTAGGTTCCAACGATCAACCTACGTCATTCAAATGACAAAACTGAATTCAAAACATTCGACATAGCCTAAAAATAGCATTGGCGGCTCACTGGCCACGCGCCGCCGCAGGTGGCGATCGGCCGCCCCGACTCGCCGGAAAATCCAACTATTTCCAAAAATTCTCAAACTTCACAGAAATGAAGATCGCAGTGAGTGGAGAAACTTTCATACCTGCCACGAAGTTCAAAAGTGGACGGAAGATGGTCAATTTTGCCCACGAAGCCGGCGGGTGCCTAAAACTTCCCGATGTCGATTCGTCGTCTACGGTGGTCCAACGGGGTCAAGGTTGGTTGGGTTTTGCTCCTGGGATGATGGGTTACAAAGCCCAAGTGGTGGCATCGGCCATTACTTTGCCGATTTGCCGGAAAATCGAGAAGGGTAGCCGGAGCACCATTGATTTTCGTCAACTTTCGTGGCCTCAAACCTCCACATCCCATGGTTAATCAAGGTGGTTCTTGGGTGGGTTTTGTAGAGGGGAATGAGAGCTTCAAGATGGTGGTGGTGGCATCGAAAAACTCCACCGGAGTTGGCCGGAATCGGCCTTAGAAAATGGGAACCCGCGGTGGGTGCGGGTGGATGAAAACCCACTTCCTTTTTTTTTTTTTTTTTTTTTTTTCTAATTCTGATTGGGCTTTTCCCCACAAGGGGGGGATTTAATTTAAATAAACGCTAAACCTTGAATAACCAATTTCGAACGTCCGTAACTATACCGTTATAATCTGGACTCGCAAACAGCTTTCGCCTATACGTTCGTACCAATAAGTACTACGAGGATATGCTAAAAGAATAAGTCCCACATCTCTCGAGTCGATGGTCAACGGAAGTCAAAGTCCTTGCCTCTAGGGCAATTTTGTAAATTCACGCTTTTAAAATAAAATAAAAACGTAAAATTTGGAACGGGTTATCACATGACGCATACTATAACTGGTAGGAAAAAATAAACGTTATTTCTAAGACAATATCAAAATAACACACACTATTTCTTAAACAACTACAAACTAACCAGCACTATTTCTGAAATTGAACCAAAATAATCCACACTATTTTTGAAAATGAACAAAATAAAGAGAGTTTTGACAAAATAACCCAATCTTGATTCTTGAATATCGTTTGCCCGTCTTTCTCTACAAAATGTAGTCTTATATGTTGCTATTTAATAGTAGAATCTATGGATGAATTACTTTCGATTTGGCTTATATATAACAACATGAAATTCAACTTCATGAATAATATCAGGGACAATTACATGAACTTTTCAGTCCTGTCTCCTCTCTCCTCTCCTCTCCTCTCCTCTTTCTTCTCTCTCATGCAAAATCATCGTTTTTATTTTTGTTTCAGAAAACATAAAATATTTTGATAAATATGTTTTTATTTTTTTGTTTTTTTGTTTTTTTGTTTTTGTATTCATGGCCCTTTTGGGATTCTACACAATCTTGTGTCTGCCATGAATGGACATAGACAGTATATGTTGACATTCATTTTCACATGTATACATAATAAATTAAATATGGAATCCCCATATATGAATATAGAATACATAAATAAATTTGGATAAATTACATTTTACCACTTCAGGTTTGAGGTCTATTGCAACCTGATACAACATCTTCAAAACATTTTACTTTCATACATCAAGTACTATTTTATTTCAATATAATACATCCGTTATATTTTTCATCCATTGATCTGTTAAGAGCCTGATGTGACTGCCAAATTTGTGCCACGTGGCAAAAAAAAAAAAAAAAAAAAACTTGAAAACCTAGAAACCCATTCCCCCCGACCACCTCCAATAGAATTTTACGGGGTAATTTTCCATTGTATTACTCCCTTGAAATATATACATATGCAATCCTTGTTCTACAAGGAAACACTAACCAATAAAGGACACAACAATAACTCTTTCCTAATAAAGGACTCCTAGTATTTACAATATATTTACGTACTTATTTTAATAACTTATGTTTACACTCTCTCTCAAGTAGGTGCATAAATATTACACATGCCCAACTTGACAAGTGAGTTACCAAACTTTCGACTACTTACTGCATGAGTAAAAACATCTGCAAGTTGCTCCTTTGAATCCACAAATGGTATTGATACAATCTTCTTTTCAAGTTTCTCTTTGATAAAATGACGATCAACCTCTACATGCTTTGTTCTATCATGCTATACTGGATTATCAACTATGTCTCTTGCTGACTTGTTATCACATAACAACTTTATGGTATCCTTCGGCTTAAACCCAAGTCCCCAAAGAAGTTTTCGTAGCGAAATGATTTCACATAGTCCTTGAGCCATACCTCTATATTCAGCCTTAGCTGAAGATCGTGACACCACCTTTTATTTTTTACGTCGCCATGCCACCAAATTCCCTCCAACGAAGGTAAAATACCCAGAAGTAAACCGTTTATCAGTTACATCACTTGCCCAATCTGCATCAGTAAACCCTCCAATCCTCAAATGCCTTTTTTTTTCATACAAGACTCCTTTTCCAAGTGCCGACTTCAAGTATGCCAAGATACGCATAACAACAGCCATATGATCCACACTCGGTGAATGCATGAACTGACTTATAACACTCGTAGCATAGGTAATATCAGGACGAGTATGAGCCAAATAAATTAGTCTCTTTACGAGTATCTGATATCTATCTTTATTGGTTTCTGCTTCGGATCCAAACACAAATGATGTTTCTCAACAATAGGAGTCTCTACCGGCTTACACCCCAACATACTAGTTGCTTTTAATAAATCCAGTACATACTTATGTTAAGACAAGAAGATACCTTTAGAAGCGCGAACAACTTCAACTCCCAGAAAATACTTCAAATCCCCTAAGTCCTTTATCTCGAATTCGGCCGCGAGATTTCCTTGCAACTTGAACATCTCGTCAACGTCGTCTCCTGTTATAATCATGTCATCTACATAGATAATCAAGGCTGTTACTCTATTCTATCTATGCTTCACAAATAAAGTATGATTAGAATGACTCTGACGATATCCATTCTTTCTCATGACTTGAGTAAATCTACCAAACCATGCACAATATGATTGCTTAAGTCCATAGAGTGACTTACACAACCGACATACTAAGGTGTTCCCAACATCGCTATATCCAGAAGGGAAATACATATACACTTCTTCCTCCAAATTCCTATGGAGAAACGCATTCTTCACATGAAACTGTTTTAATGGCCAACCATGTTTGCAACTAAAGAAATAAGAACACGTTCCATATTCATCTTGGCAACTGGGGAGAAAGTCTCCTGGTAATCCACGCCATATGTTTAGGTATACCCTTTAGCCACCAACCTTGCTTTGTATCTATCTATTGTTCCATCAACTTTATATTTAACTGTAAATACCCACCGGCATCCCACTGTCTTCTTACCTGTGGGTAGCATCATCACCTCCCAAGTAATATTTTTCTGTAATGCCAACATTTCCTCATCCATTGCCATTGCCCACTTCTGATCTTTTAGAGCTTCCTTCACTCAAGTTGGTACCTGGATAGACTCCATATTACTCACCAACATTTGACTCTCTGGTGCAAGCTTATTGCATGATACATAGTTGGCTATCAGATACTCCACCTTCCCTTCAGGAGAAAACCTATCAGGCGGCACACCTCGATTTTGTCTTGGTGGCAATTTATAAGTACTTACATTATTACTTGGATTAGTTACACAATCATTTACAATACTTACCTCATGCATATTCAGAGAGGATGTATTGGGCGGCATTTTGGAACTAGAGAAAAAGGGTGTACTAGGCTCAGCAAGGAGAGGTATACTGGGCTCGGCACAAGGCTGTTCAATAACAGGGCTGTCCTCGGCAGTAGCTAGCAGAGACTATCTTATGTGTTCAGTTAAAATCTGCCGAACATCATCAACATCAGCCATGATACTAACAATTCCAGGTTCTACACGCTCTTCGACATTCACATTTCCCCCTAGATCCAACCAACTCAGATTACCAACAGTGTTCTCCCCCTGGTGATCTGAAGTTGAAGGTACGAAAGTGTAGAAATACTTCGTTTCAGAGAAGGTCACATCCATGGTTACATACATATGCCGGGTTTCAGGATGGTAACACGTATACCCTTTTTGGTGAGATGAGAAGCCAACAAAGACACACTGTAGTGCACATGGATCCAATTTACCACGATGTATTTTCTGAATATGAACATAAGCCACACAACCAAACACTCGAGGTGTGAGAGTATTACTTGACACCATTGGAGCATGTTGAGTGAGGACTTGAAGAGGTGTTTGAAATCCAACCACCCGAGAGGGCATAGGATTAATGACATATACGGCATAGGTAACAGCTTCAGGCTAAAAACGCTGAGGAACCGAAGCCCCAAGGAGTAAGGCACAAGCTGTCTCCAAAATGTGGCGAGTTTTATGCTCCACAACCCCATTTTGTTATAGGGTATGTGGACACGTGGTTTCATGGAGAATTCCTTAAGCACGGAGAAACTTCGACAACTCAAAATTAATGTATTCTCCTCAATTATCAGAACGTAAAACTTTAATAACTGAAGAATATTATGTCTAAATCATCTGAGCAAAGGACTGAAATATGGCACCAACATCACTTTAATTTTTCAACACATAAAACCATGTCATACGAGTGCAATCATCAACAAATGTAACAAACCACCGAAGTCTAGAAGAAGTAACAACTGGAGAAGGTCCCCAAACATCGGAATGCACAAGTTCAAACGAAAAAAATCTTTTATTCATACTAGGACAAAACGAAGCACGATGATTTTTTGCAATAATACATACTTCACAATGTAAATCTGAATCATTTATTCCACTAAATAAACTAGGCAACATACGACGATGCAATAACCATACTTCTTGTAAATTACTATCACGAAGCAAACTTCATTTTTTATAAATTTCAACTAAAATGCAAAGCCACTTAATACTACTTACTACGTGGTATTCTTCCTCACCTGCAAAATGAATTTACGCTTTGGTTTTTCTTTCGCTGGAATCGGATACCGAATAAAGCAGTAGAGAGCATAGTACGATAATCAAGGATAGAAGGTAGCGACGTTATGGTGGGCGTCTGCCACAGATTTCGTACCAAAGCCAGAGCCTTGTTTTCAGCGAAGATCTCACCGCCATGTTCAAGCCCTCTCATTCTCCCTCCCGTCCGGATACCCACCCAAACCGCCCACCGTCTCCTCTCCAGCGGCGTCCACCGTAAGTGCTTTTCCCCACCACACTTTCACATTTTCAGCACATTCCCAATCATGGGTCTCTCTCTTATTTCCTTTAGTTTAAACTGGCGATTGTAATTTGTATGCAACGCTGCAAAAGCAGCAGGTACGAGAAGTGCTGAAATTATGAGCGGAAAGCCGATTGCAAAGGACATAAAATCAAAGGTAGCTTCTGAAATAAGTAGAATGAAAGCTGCCATTGGAAGCGTTCCTAGGTTGGCTGTGGTTTTGGCGGGCAACAGAGAGGACTCCCAAGCTTTTGTCAATATAAAGTTAAAGGCTTGTAATGAAGTTGGGATTGAAACTTCCATTGTGCAGTTGCCCCAAGATTGTTCTCAAAATCGGCTTATTGATGTAGTTTCGGGTTTTAACAAGAACCCGTCTATGCACGGTATAATTGTTCAACTCCCTCTGCCACAGGTACCAAATTGTTTGAATCTGAAATTTATTTACAACTGTTGCTTTGAATTAAGTTTAGTGTTGTTAATTTGGTATTTGGTTCAGCATTTGGACGAAGAAAGGGTTATAAATTTCGTTAGTCCGGAAAAAGATGTGGATGGCTTTCATCCCCTTAATATGGGGAACCTTGCATTGCGGGGAAAGGAGCCGTTATTCATTCCTTGTGCTCCTAAGGCTTGCATAGAGTTGTTGCTCCGGTATGGAGTTGAGATCGTTGGGAAGAATGCGGTGGTAATTGGGAGAAGCAAGATTGCGGGATTATCCACTTCATTGCTATTGCAGGTGATACATAACTTTTGTTCTCTACTGTATAGAAATCGGAATGTTTGAATATTTGTTCAATGATGCTGCCTTAGTCCTTGACAGAGGCACCATGCAACTGTTTGTACTGTCCATTCATTCACTAACAACCCAGAACAAATTACTCGTCGAGCTGATATTGTTGTCTCAGATGTTGGCATTCCAAATATAGTCGGATGCGATTGGCTGATGCCAGGGGCAGTTGTAGTCGATATGGGGACAAATTCAGTAAAGGTGAATTCCCATGTTTTTATCTTATGGTTGAATACATCAATGTACATTCATCTGTTTCTTCTAAAGAGAAATATCTATGTTTCCTGGCTTTATGATTGTGTACAACGAAGTTAGTAGTTCAATGTCCCCGCCTGCAACCCTAAAATGCATTTTTGATATAGGATTTCCATAACCTGGCCACTTTAGAGTTATTATGCAAACCATTCCGTATGATTTTCTAGCGAAACTAGATTTGTAGGATCACAAAAACTTGAATTTTGTGACTTTACTCTCTTTATTCATTTGTGATCACAAAGGAAGATTGAAGTGCTTAGGATCATACGAGTCCTGACCATAGAAAATCGTAACGATATTTATAACATCCTTAGTATTTAACAGGCCTGATGGCGGACTAAATTTAAATACTCTAGGGTAGAAATTGGTCCCTGAGGCAACTTAAGGACAATGAGGGACCCTTGAACGCTACTGCACATCCTTACTAATAGTATAGTTTAAAAGGTTACTCATCCGCCTATTACAATGAAGTTTTCATGAAATTTCTGTTGCATTCTGTCATTACTACTCGGATCTAGGACCATATATTTATTACTGGTATTATTGACCACACCATCACTAGTTAATATATAGCTGAACATCGATTAATATGTAAGAGAAATGCTAGCAACCTTCTCACTTACCTTCTCCGCTTCTCATTTCAAACATCTCACTTCTTCTAATGTCAAATTAAAATTTTAATTATACACTATTTTTCTCCCTTAGTATAATTAACATTTTGGTTTGTCAACTAAAAAGTAATCAAATTTTTAGTTTTGCGTGCTGGTGGAATACACACGGCATGAGTAGAAGGGTTGAAATGAAAAGGTAAGCGAGAAGGTTGAAATGAAAAAAAAAAAGCCTTTCCAGAAGCTCTGGACAAAGCTTCTAACTTAATGGAATTGGTCATTTAGGGGTTGTTCTTGGTCGATTGTAGAATTGCTTTTATCCTTGTTTTTTCAAGGAATTGATAGTGTTATTTCAGCGATGCCATTGTTTGCTTGTGGTTTAATTGTATCATGGGTCTTTGCTTGTGGTTTAAATCGGGCTTACCGGATCATCATGATTAGTTTGTTTTCTAAGAACTAGGGTATGTTGTTATCTAGGGTTTTAATCTATACAAGTAAATAAATTTTGATCAAAGATTACAGCATAGTTGTGTTTGAAAGACTGGGATGTTACGATCTCAAGAATGATAGTCTGTACCGTGTTCGTTAGTTTTATAATAATAGTGAATGATAGTCTGTACCGTGTTCGTTGGTCATACTATGCAGGATCCTAGTAGCAGGCGAGGTTTCCGTATCACCGGAGATGTGTGCTATGAAGAGGCAGTTAAAGTGGTGTCGGCCATTACACCCGTGCCAGGAGGGGTCGGACCTGTTGTAACCTCAATGCTCCTCTCCAACATCCTTGACTCCGCAAAGCGAGCTTTTGGATTTACTTGATCCTTTAACCTACAAAGATCATGTAAACTATTTTGATACTGATTTGATAGTTTTTTTTGCGAAAGATCATTTATGAACTTTTTAGGACATTCCTAAACCTTGAACATCTCTCTGTATCGTTCCAATTTTATCGGATGTCCCCGGAAGGGACAACGTAAGACAAGTGAAAAGAAGCTCTGTCCTAGCAACCTAAATCCCCAGCAGTTTTTGACTCCTGAAAAGAAAATATAACTTGATCAAAATGCAGGTTCGCTTATGGTTTGTGGAATGTATAGGGGCAAAGAAAGTATCATAATGCTTATTGGCATTTTTTGTTTACTTCTGAATGCCCATTTTTTATTGTTTAAAAAAAATTGTCAATTTGTTATTCTTTTTATAAGTGATTGAAGGAAGGAGTTGAACGCAAGATAAACAAACTACCTTCATTCGGACTTGTCATTCACACAATGTGATTAGTCATAATAATTTGATTCGAACTTGTCATTCATAAAGTCGAATTTAAAATTTCTCATTTATAAGTAAAAAGAGGAATATCATTGAACTAAAATGTTAAGTGGCAGTGCTCCTATATTTCAAAAATACTATTTCATTTCTAACTAGTGTGTGACTTCAATGCTATGTAGCGCTATAAGTATTTTAGCCATTAAATTTATTTCCACAACTGGTATATTTTCTATATTCAGTCTCATTCATTTATTGTTTGTACCACTTGATGTTAGGTACCACTGGAGAAAAAGTTCTCTAACTACCAAATTCATCAAATATTATGTTTTTTTTTCCTACTTGGATGGATAAAAATAACCCCGTATTTGGCTTTTTGTTTTTTTTTTTTTTTTTTTTTTTTTGAGTACATCGATATTTTTACACCGAGGAGGGTTTGGCAAAGCCACACAATAGGCAGCCTAATTTGGTATCGAATTTGCCATCTACAAGATTCAAACCTAAAATCTCTCACTTTCAAGTGAAGAGAAATACAATCAGACTGTAATACTGAATGACAATATTTGGCATATTAAGTTGGCCAAATAGCACAATTTTTAGTAGAAACAATATTCGGGGAAGAAAAAGCTATAAAATCCAAAATACAGTATAATGACATGTGGCGCGACGAAAGTGGTTGAAAATCATATTGAAAATCTAAAATGATAATAACAGGTGGAGGATAAAGTAAAAAAAAAAAAAATGTATATATTTGTGAATAGTAATCATCTTTGACCTCGTCTTTCGTCTTCTCAAACAAATGAACTTGCACAAAATCAATTGTTTTTTTTTTAACAACTGATATTATCTACATGGTAGGGAGCGGGCTTAGCTGCATAATGAGCTAGGAATAATGTAGTTCAAATTCGCCTTTGGTAAGAATGAAACCTAAGATCTCTCACTTACAAATAAAGAATAATACCACTAGACCGTAGTATTAAGTAGCAAATCAATTGCTCTTTAAAGTAATAACAATTTCCTTCGTCCTTGCCCTTGAGAGAGGATCCTCACTGGATCCTCCAATCACATCCGTTCATCGTACATCGTGCTGCGAGTTTTTATCAGATACTGTTTATATTCAATTTTAAATAAAAAAAATTTACAATAATTTCTGACCGCACGATATACGATGAATATATGTGATTGGAGGATCCTTAGTATCCTTACAAAGAGAATCCGTCTGCATGCCCTCCCCTTTAAAGGGGTGGACTTGTTATTGGATAGCATCACTAAAGAGGAAATGGGAGGAATGTTCCCTTAACTATCTTCAAATTGTAGCTTAAGTCCCTAAATTAAAAAATCATTATATTTGGTCCTTGAACTTGATAAGATGTGGAGCGTTAGTCCTTCGTTACCAATTCCGTTAGAGCAACTCCACCCCTATCCACTTTGCGCCAGCACCCAGCCCATTTATCCACTTAATTGAACAGTAACAGACTCAATGAACAGTAATAGGCCAAAACATCTCCACCCCAAAAAAAAATGTGCTGGCACCTAGTCTAAAAATGCGCTGGCACAAACGATCTCCACCCCTACAAAATGCGCTGGCGCCCAGTCCATTTAAAATATTAAATAATTTTTTTATAAAATAATAAAAAAAAAATAATTTTAATTTCGGATATGATTTTTAACCAATCTCGTCACGCCACGTGTCATTATCCGAACGTACTATTTTTTGAATAGATTTCCGCTAAGATTTTCAACCAATCCCGACAACCCACGTGCCACTTCCTGTTTACAATAATTTAGGCAAGATTTCGATAAGATTTTTAACCAATCTCGTCACGCCACGTGTCATTATCCGAACGTACTATTTTTTGAATAGATTTCCGCTAAGATTTTCAACCAATCACGTAGTGCCACGTGGCATTGTCCAGAACCTCATCTTCTTTTTTTTTGTCCATATAAACCCTACATCCCTACATCCATCCTCACACTAAACTCAATCCTTTTTTTTAGCTCAGAATTCTTCTTTATCATTTTCAAATCTTGAGTTCTTACAATATCTTCTTCAAGGAGAGCGTATAAACAGTTGCAAGAGCAGCAGAAAAGGTTGTTGGCACAACAGGAAGAATTGGTCAATCTTGACCAAGGTGGAGGTGGAGATGAGGCCTTCGCAATGGAGGAGGATGACGATGATCACCATAGAAGGCGGAGGGCCTCACATTCCCGCCGTATCATGCAAGCTATGGGTCAGATAGCCAAACCCGGACGTGCGGCAAACATCGATAGAAGAAGGGAAAGACGAGGTAAAGATCTCTTGGAAGATTATTTTATTCCCAACAGCGTTTACCCTGATCATGTTTTTAGACGTCGTTTTAGAATGCAACGAAGTTTGTTCGCTAAAATCTTGAGTGATGTTTGCAACCATGATCCATATTTTGTGCAAAAAGAGGATGCTTTTCATGTTCTAGGTCTTCTTCCTGAGCAAAAAATTACGGCTGCCTTGCGAATGCTTGCATATGGAGCATCCGCAGATCAAGTGGATGAGATCGCAAGGATGGGAAAAACAACAGTTCTGGAGTCCCTGATGCGGTTTTGCTCTGCAATTGAAGCCCTCTACACCAATGAGTACCTTCGGCAACCCACGCCAAGGGACATGCGAAGGCTTCTTAGGAAGGCTGAGATGCGAGGCTTCCCTGGCATGATTGGAAGCATCGACTGCATGCACTGGACATGGAAAAACTGTCCAAGTGCGTGGCAAGGAGCTTATGGCGACAGAAAAGGAGCCAAAAGCATCATTCTGGAAGCGGTGGCTTCTTTTGATACATGGATTTGGCATGCTTTTTTTGGTGTTCCAGGAGCTCAGAATGACCTAAATGTCCTTGCCCAATCTCCAGTGTTTGACGAACTGCTACAAGGGCGTGGGCCGAGATGCACATATTGGGTTAATGGTACTAAATACGAGGGACCATACTACCTTGCAGATGGTATTTACCCAAGGTGGTCAACATTTGTCAAAACAGTGCCACACCCGCAGAGTGAAAAAGAGAAACACTTCGCAAAGTGTCAAGAAGGGTGTAGGAAGGATGTCGAGCGTTGTTTTGGTATCCTGCAAGCTCGTTGGGCCATTGTCGGGGTTGCAGCTAGAATGTTTGATGTCGAGGCTCTTCGATCCATCATGATGACGTGTATTATTCTCCACAACATGATTGTTGAAGACGAGTATGATTATGATGCCGTCGATGAATACGAGCCGGATCCGATGAACAACTCAAGAACACAAATCTACTATGCTCATGACCGGACCGAAGATCCCGTGCAACACGAGCCGTTGGAACGGGATGGACGTTACAATGAATTGATCGTTCAACGATACACTTCATTGCAAGAGCCATACTGGCACATAGCCCGCCAGAATGACTTGATTGAGCATCAGTGGAGCTTGCACGAAGGCGAAGATAATTAAAATAAGGCTTGTGGTTGAAGAATAAAGTGTATTGTTTTTTAAGTAATCTTATTTAGTGTGTTTGCTTTTTTTTTTTTTAAGTTTAAATGGTGAGGTTATGTAATTTTAAGTTTAAATGGTGTTTTATGTAATTTTATTTGGTGTTTTAAGTTTAAATGGTTTTTTTTTTAAGTTTAAATGGTGAGGTTATGTAATTTTAATTTTAAATTAAATAAAGTTCTAAAAGTAAATAAGAAATTACATAACAAATTAAATAAAGTTCTAAAAATAAATAAGAAATTACATAAGAAATTAAATAAAGTTCTAAAAATAAATAAGAAATTACATAAGAAATTAAATAAAGTCTATGGAGTTAGGATATGTGGTGCTAGGATCTTGGTTGCTAGGATTTCTGTAGCTGGAACCCCCTTGACTTGTTTCGGCATCTCTTGCACGCCTCCTTCGCACGACATCTCTTTTTTTCTGATGTCCAAAAATATTTTGAATTCGGAGACAGTCCTACTAGAGACTTGTTCATAGTGTCACGATCTGTTTGAGCCATCCTTTCTTCTCTAAGCATCTCATTCTCTCGATGAAGTGCTTCTCTAATCATCTCGTTCTCTCGATTAACTATTTCTCTTTGTCTCTCAGACGCCGCATCACGAGCCTCAGTAGCTGCAATAATTGCTGCCACAGCAGCAGCTTTTTCCTCATCTCTACCTTTTCCCATGCCATGTTCATTTCACCTTGACGAGTAAGTTCTTCCATATATTTAGTGTAGTCATTTTTGGAAGAACTACCTTTTTTCTTTGATGCCTTTTTACCTTGAGGCCTGAGGGACTGACGAGTCGGTTGGGTCTCTGGCACTTGTTCAGGCATCCCTTCTGTGTCTTCAAATGTGTTGGCTTCTTGTTCGGCTGTGTCTGCTTCTGGCGAACTGTGTAGACCCATACCGTGCATGACAACTTCTGGACCGGTTGCCACAATTTTGTATCTAGGGCAATCTTTGACAATTTGCCAACATTCCCATTTGTTGAATGATTTGTTATGGTTCTTTGCATTGTAGAATGCTTGTGCTTGTAGTGTCTATAAAAATTACATAAAAATTACATAAGAATTGTGGAATGCATAAAAATTATATAAAAATTACATAAAAATTACATAAGTATTTGGAATGCATATTACATAAAAATTACATAAGAAATTAAATAAGAATTGTGGAATGCATAAAAATTATATAAAAATTACATAAAAATTACATAAGTATTTGGAATGCATATTACATAAAAATTACATAAGAAATTAAATAAATTAAAATATTGATGT